TTTCAGGAGTATTTCAGGTACTATGCAGTATTTCGGTAGTATTTAAGGAGTATTTCAGGTACTGTGCAGTATTATGGTAGTATTTCAGGAGTATTTCAGGTGCTGTGCAGTGTTTCAGGAGTATTTCAGGTACTATGCAGTATTTTGGTAGTATTTCAGGAGTATTTCAGGTACTGTGCAGTGTTTCAGGAGTATTTCAGGTACTATGCAGTATTTCCGTAGTATTTCAGGAGTTTTTCAGGTGCTGTGCAGTATTTCAGGAGCATTTCAGGTGCTGTGTGCAGAATGCGAAGCACACTCCTGCTCAGGCAAACGTTGAGCTCTACACGACTGTGAGCTACGGTTTTTGTGTTGTTTCAGTTTTCTCGACCGTTGCCATACCTGTTCATTCTCTGCAGGACACACACATGGATGTCAGAGCCTTCATGTTTGAGTCGCGGGGCGTTTCTGTGTTTCCTGTCGGCTCTGCTGTGTTCCTGCCGCTGTGGAATCTCTTTTCATCCACAAATGTTCAAACTTAACATCAAATTAAATTTAGTCTGCAGAACTGCATGCTAAATTTAATTTTGCAGTCATATTAATATTCTATACTTCCATAGCAGAGTTTTCCAACAGCGCATGTTATTTGCTTTCAGGAGGAAGAATACATGGCGTTCCATAATGAACGTCATTAGAAGTTGGATTTCCTGCGTGGTGACTTTTTAAAATATTTGTACTTATCCTGTACTAATATTTGACAGTAATACCGGTGTTATAGGCATGTTATTCACCACAAACACATAATTAAGCCTCCTGGTGTGACACTCCACCGTGCAGCACTACCTCTGGACTGGAGGACATTCATTAGTCATAGTTTTGTGCTCCCCGGTGAATGATCAGGATCTGTGGGCTCTGTGGAGGCACAGCAATGTGTTGATCTAATGTACTGTATACTATACTGTATCTGGTGCTTGTGTGACCTCTCAGATTAAAAATATCCACATTTCAGAGTTTGACAGTCACGCGCAAACACCCACAAAGAACCTAAACATACAAATGTGATTCCCAGGATACCAGCTACATCTGCACACACCTGGCAGGTGACAAATAAATGATGCATTGCTCTGTCCATCATTTCTTTTTCTTTTTGATCCCTTTGGGATCCAGGATTGTCCTCCTCATGTCTCTGTGTCGTACTCTGTATGCTCCACACTGCTAAAGAACATTTTCAGCTTATTACCATCACTCTTACCGGATGATGATGATGGCAGCAGCAGCCGTTCTTCTCTGCGTGAGTAGCTTAATGTTGTTCATGTGTAATTTACGTTGAGTAGGCTAACCACGTTATTACATTAATGCAGTAAGGTGAACTAGCAAACACCATCATAGCTACATGCAGCTGTCTTCTTGTTTGATGGCAGATACTTCCTTCACCCTGGCCAAAAAGGCTAAAATGACCAAAGAAAAAGTGAAAAACAGCTAAACATGAGAGGTTTTTGGACAAAGTTAGTTTTTCCATTGTTTAAGCACCGCTTCCAGCCAAGAGTGATGCCATAAATCCCCTAAAGCTGCAGAAAAGGCTAACATTGTTATCTTTTTACAAAAAAACAGCTGAATATGAGAGGTTTTTGGACCAATTTTGTGTTCTCCATTCTTTAAGCACAGGTTCGAGCACCGTTTAAGCACTGGCACCGCTTCAAAAGTACCCATTTGGTACTGGTATCGGATAAAACCTAAACGATACCCATCCCTAGTCACTCGTTGGTTTTACTTCCTGTGTTGTTGCTCGGGATCGGATTTTTTAATGTCCTCACATGAGTCTGATTAAAGTTGTCTGTAGTACAGCCTGAGTAATCTTTCTCCTGAACGTTGTGACAGTAAAGGAATATAAACCTAACCTGAGGTACCTGTCCACAGTCAGCAAAACAATCTGCGAGCATGGGGCACAACCTTCCTTCATTGACTCATGAAGTCAAACAGGCCAAAGCAGTTTTCACAGCATTGAGGCGTTTTTGTGTTTTGTACTGTATTGTGCATTGTGAGGTGACACCGTGCTCAGTGTTTACACAGGAAGTCATTCACTGATTAATCATTCATGGACAAAACAAGCACAGGGGAGGGGGGGAGAATGGAGGCAAAGAACATTTCCCTTTTCTGCTCTGTTTCTTTTTCTTTCTGTCTTCAAAAATCTTTTTATGAATAAGTGGATGTTAATGTGAGCAATAAGCTTCTTGCTGGTCAGAATCGGCATCCGCGCAGCCCGACACGTCACACTGCTGAACACTTCAGGTTTAGAGCGTCTCTGGTCCATTATGAGATGGTGGGATTGAGCTCAGTCCTCAGCAGCTGCTTTTAGGAGGACTTCACTCGGCCTGGTGTTGCTGCTGATGCATTGCTGTGAGCAGTCAGCGGAAAGGTGGCATCCTGCTTTAAAGAAGTCTTGGACGCGTTTGTGCCGCAACATGCAGGAAGTGAATTCATTTAAATAGTCCGAGGGAAAATGGCTGGGAGAAACGCGGTTATTAAAATCGCATAAGGCTGTGTTAACATATCGCAGCATCAAACCAAGATCAACAATAAAACAATACAACGAAGTGGGTGTACACCTCGTTCATCATCTTCATCATACCCGCCGGGTTTATTTATGTGAAAAGCAGACTGGCGTCACTTCCACCACTGCACTGTTTCACACTCTGTGAAGTTTAAAGCAGTTAGACAGAGATAAGCCCGGCGACGACGCCACAGCAGAAGCACCTCTGCCTGTATGAAGGGAATAATTGTATGGTAATTACACCACCATGGTTTTTATTTCCAGGTGACTTCACACTAATGAAAAGACAATTATGTATATTATGTTCCAGTCCTGATGACAGATCGTCCTGAAACCTACACCGGCTGGATTTTACAGCAGACCTTTAGCCTGACAGAGGAGAGGCAGGAATCACTGCCAAATGCCAGAGGTGTGTCAGCACGCTCTGAGATGGCTTCTTTGTCTGTAACATTACAGCGAGTGTTCAGGAGCGAGACCCATGGTGGGATTAATACGTGTCTGATTCACACAGGGCGCTGAGTCGAGCTCTCGCTGCGCTCTGACATTATCCACAGGAAGTGACGACACATTC